AAGATAAAACAACAAGAGAACATACCAGCGCAATAATTACTGTCGTGACAATGTAACCAGAAACAAATTAACACTAACCATATATGCCATTTGAAAAGTTATTGTACTCAGTGCTGTATAAAACTTCTGCTAGTTTCAGTGCTATTTTCAAAGATCTGTTCAAAACTTTTCAGACATCATACACACTATTCAAAAGCAAGCAAAAAAGATACTGTTCAAATGATCTGTATTTCTTATTCTTAATTACTAGTTTTGCTTCTAGGCCCCTTTCTGTGTTCTTGCCTTAAGTTGTTGAATGCATGAAGTGAGGTCCTCTCACACAACAAGAACACCCCCCCACCTCACCCACCTACCCCCACAACCCTTAAATCTGCTCCAGGTGTTAGGGACACCCCAAGGCTCAGGGGAGCACAAGGGGAGGTCCTCATTTCCCACCACACTGAATTCCTCTTGCACTGAATTCCACCTGGTGATTTTAAACATCCATGGCAATTTCAGTTCTCACGTCAATCCTACATTTGCACAGTGTCATAAATGCTACCTTTAGATGGTGTGCTATCTCTTTACAACAAAACCTTTGTGCCCTCCAGATGTTTTGGACGTCCCCTCCTGTCAGCCCCTGACAGCAAAGGTCAGAGAATTGTGCTTCAAAACATGTGGAATGCATCAGGTTCAGGAAGGCTGTGTTAAATATTATGATGTACTTGAGCTGCTATGAAAATGACGATTGCTGTTTTAATTAAAAAATGCTGATGCACTCAGGAATTAGAGAGAGAGATTTTCATGCAGCGGGTGCTATTAACTTCAATGGGGTTTGTTCAGATCAAACCAAGGTTTACGTCCAACGAAGTGGAATTGGGAGTGCAATCTTGCAGTTTGGGGTTTGATCTCCAGCTGCAATCATTATGATTAGGTGCTGAAAATGTATCCATGTGGTGTATAGCCAATATATCAGTGTGTGTGATGTTTGTGTGCACAAACCTGACCAGTCCACAGCAGCTCAGCTAGAAGTCCGCACAAACTAACAAAGCAAAGCCAGTGGCTGCCACAGGTTGAGAGAGTGGTGTGAGATTCCAAGTATTAGCCATTTTGCTGCTGTTGTTGATTCTAAAATAACATTTAAATGCCACTCATATGTTCTTGCTCCCTCTCAGCCCTGTATCAATAAATGCCATGCTGTATCTATAATCTCCACATAAAACCCATGTCTTGAGAGGGAAGCAGTTTCTGTTCACTGCTCACACAGGAATGCCTTGCTCCCAACTCACACGAACACAGAGAATAATGCCCAACCCACTTACCTTTCCTAACGTTCAGAATTCTGTGAGAGAACCGCAGCCTCTTTGTCGCTGAAAAATCTTTATAGTCCTCTCCACACAGACTTGGTTTTGCTTGGTTTTCTTTGCGAGACAAAGTTCCCAGTCCCCTGAATACAGAGTCTAGTGGAGACCAGCTCCACTGAAACACGCACCTCTCCCTTCTCTCAAGCGAGTGGATTGAGACAGCTGGTTTTATTTTAGCCCTGCATGCAGAACATGGCACTTGGCACCTATTTTTAGGGGCTGAGGCCTGATGAGCCAGTGCCTGAGTCGACTACTAGCTCTAGGAACCTGTTAGTAAAGGCCATCTTAGAGTGTCCTTTTGTCATATCTCTATGCATGGCATAAGCACTTGTTCAGTCAATCAAAGTTTCACTTACCTAACCCTCTAGTCATTCCTCCTTAAGTGTTTTCTCCCCTATATAAAACAAGAACTCCAATTATCCTACCAAAATAGGAACAACCCCACAATGCTTTGGATTAACATTTCTACCCCTTTCCCCTTAATTTATGCATACCAAGTTATTTTTTGAGGGAATTTTTATTATTATTTTAAACTCCTATTCTACCAAACAATATATATGCTTTGGATTAGCATTTATTTAATGGAGGTTATACAGCAGGTTATTTTGTGAGGGAAATGTTTCCTTTAAACCAAGAGGTCCATATTTTTTAGGAAGTAGCACATTAAACTCTGGGGATGTGCATGAAAAAAAGCACTGGGAGAAGAGGTAGGCAGCCAAGTGAGAGCTGCGGGAGTCTGCCTTTCTTTCTAGGAATTATATGATATGCATGACATAAATGTGATAATTAAAGAATAACTAAAAAGGCTTTTTATTCCCTTTTTCCCTATCTGCTTTCTGTTTTGTATTTTCTTATGAGTTTGAATTTTCATGTTTAATATGTTAAAAAAAAACTTTCAACAAAATTGATATTATTATTTTAAAATGAAATTGACCCTGACTGGAACAGGGTTTTTTAATTTTTAACCTGAGCCAAAACTCAGTCCCACAACTTGCTCAAAGTGTCAAGTTCAAAGCGAAGTAGCCATGAGTGCATTTTCCCCCCCTGGTCACCTCTGCATCACGACTCTCTATTCCCAAGCCTGTGAGGTTGATAATAGATTCACCAGTGAAACTCTGCTTACTGTGAAATATGAATTGAATTTGGAGGAAGGGTCATCAGTCAAAACATCTGAGGAATGTTGATAGGGTTTTGAAAAAAGGAGTGAAGCTCCTCACAGGAATTCCACACATCCCAAAGCTGTCATCCTAAGTTTTGCCTGTACTGTATTATTGGGAGCACCCTGATCAGGTGAGACATTTTTGGAATTTGGAGGGAAGACAATTTGTGTAAGTCTAGCCAAATGTCTGGATCAGGGTGGTGGTGGCAGTTTCGTGCATACATACCAGTGTATCTTCTAAGTTAGAAAATGCAGCTTCTAGACAGGAGCATACATTAGTACATTTCTTTTAAGCATTGAGGATATCATGGAAAGCTTAGAGACAAACCAGTCAGAAAGTTAGACAAAAAACTTTATTGTCTCTCTCTAGCAAAAACAGAGGTGACATAGGGAATGCCTGCCTCCAGCAAATACAACTAAGTCAAGTGCCACCTAGTGAGTTGACTGTATAATTACCCCTAACCACAAAGAGGGCAGCCACACTTTCCAATTCTATTGTGAAGCTAATTTCATACACAAGGAAGAATGAGTACCAAGTATTAAAATAAAACAATGGCGTGGATCCCTGGCCAGTAAATGCTATTTTCACACAGGATGGTGACAAAGTATGCCTTTATTTGGATCCCTAAATTATCTATCACCTTTTTGTCATGTATTAGCATGATCAAGGAACATAATCCAGGGCAGGTCTAAACAAATATAGGGTGATGATTATCAGTTCTTGAATTAGCACCCCTGCCCCCATGAATAGAGGGATCCTTTATAAAATTTAGAATTCTTGACTACCTAACTCTGCCTAAAAAGTCCTGTTGCACTGATTGATCTTGTTCTGCACACACAACAATTCCACCCTCAATATTTATTTTATCCCCCCCAAAAAAAGTTACATACTCTGGTATATTTCCAGGATGATATATAATCATCCTATATTCAATTTAAAGTCAAGTTTTCAATAGTTCTGCACTCAACTTGTGAGTCACATCCTTGAATAAGTGAAGGAAGGTTCATTAAGGAGATGAACAGCTAATAGGAATAAGAGGCCTCTTACCAAACCTCTCACTACCCACCTTTAGTTTCCTGACATCTTATTCCATAAACTATGGAACAATAGAATCATAAAATTGTAGAGTTGGAAGGGACCTTAAGGGTCATCTAGTCCAACTCCCTGCAAAGCGTGTTCTCCATCACGGAGAGCATGTGTTGCGGTTGGGGATTCCAAGACACCTTGCTGTTTCTGGGCAGATGGTTTGGCCAACTCGTAAGCAGGGGTGGGCTGTTACTGGGGAAATTTAGATGTTGCCATTTAGTGATTGACAGCCCTATTTGTTAAATAAAAGGCACGCAGCAACGGACGTCCTCTTTCGCTGCGTGCTTCGGATCACCCACCCTCCCTTCCCTAATGTTAGGCTGTTTGCTTGACCTTGCTATTGCCTGTCATGGGGTCGTCTGCTTTGGGGCAGGGGCCCGGTAGGAATTTTGCCATTTGGCTGATTAGTGTGTGCCACTTGGTTTTCGCCTACCGCATAGCAAATCGTCACAACTTGTAAGGTTTGCGGTTAGGCATTGGTCTGGAATTGGTTGCTGGAGGGGTATGGATTCAGCTGTGCCTGCCCCCCAAAATGCTGCTGCTGGTGGAGGGGTATGGATTCGGCTGTGCCTGCCCCTCCAAAATGCTGCTGCTGCTGAAGGGTTTTACCGTTAAAGGAACCCAGGGGCTCCCCCATGCTTTTGTCCGAAACCCCCTGGCAAGGGGCTAGGGCCACGCAAGCCCCTGGGAGCATGCTGGGGAGAGGTGAGGCATGGTTCCCAGTCCTGTCTCTCTCCCCAGGTGACTTACCCTTCCTGACTTCGCGGGGGGTGCGAATGTCAGAGCTGTCCCCGTGCGGGGGCAGTTAGTGCTACCAATGCCTAAGCAACCACTCACATTGCTGTATTTGAATAAAGTTGTGGCCAAAATTATGCCAAAAAAAATTAAACAAAAATTAAGTGTCAATTGTGTTTTCCTTTGGGGTGTATTGGGGACCTCGACACGCAATGCAAGAACCTCAACTCTCAGGCCCCCATCCAACTTGAAACCATACTGTACCCTGATCAGCTCTGCAAATGTGCTAGTAGTTTTACTGCTGCACCACTAGGAATGACATGGATGTCATGGAGCCAAGACACCATCTGCTTATTTATGTATGACATCTGTCTGCTGCCCCATAACTTAGAGTTCCCTGAGTGGCTTACAATACTTAAAAGAAGAAATAAAGAAATACAATGCAATCATACAAAGGGGTAGAGCTCTCCTTCTCAACCATTGTCTTATAGATCATCTTTGTGCTCTACCACCTCTCTTGGGGAGCTTTTGTACATCCTTGGCTTGTTTTGAAGTGAATGCCTTCATACCCATCTTACTTTTCATTGGAGTTGCTTCCTACCAGCACTGCCTCTCTGTTAATCAATTCATAAACACAGAGGTGGGGACCCTTTCTCAGCTCAAGGGCCACATTGCAGCCTGGATAGCTCAGTTGGTTAGAGTGTGGCGCTGGTAACGCCAAGGTTGCAGGTTCGAGCCCTGTATAAGACAGCTGCATATTCCTGTACTGCAGGCGTTTGGACTAGATGATCCTCAGAGTCACTTCCAACTCTACAATTCAATGATTCTACTATTCCTTTCTGAGAGCAACATACCAATGGTGGGTGAGAACAGAGGCAGAAGTGGGCAGAGAATGAAATGCGGATTTTACCTTTGTACAGTAGGCTAGCTTCTCCACACCCCACTCTGTCCTCCCTCCATGCATGATCAAGGCCAGGCAAAAACACTGAAGAAGGTTGCAAAGCCAGTCTGGGTGAGCAGTGTGGCTCAGGAGGGTGTGTGGCTTAAGGACCAGTCAGGGAATCCTGGTTCCCTGTTTGGCCCCTAGATCTGAGGATCCCTGATGTAACACTTTGGGTAGTCTCAGCTGTTTGTCTCTCCCTCCACCCCAGTTTTTTGGTAGGAAGCTTAACAAACTTCAGTTTTGTTCCCCAATTAGTAAGCATGCATTAAAACCGTATGAACGGTAGCTAAGCTTCATCAAGTAAGTTAGAGGTATGATCCAGCTGCCATCAAGCATGCAGATTGCTTCTCAGCTTTGCCTCCACTAGATATTTGGTTGAGTCAATTAAAGCAATTAAAGCCTGAAGTAATTAAGGACAGCGATCCATGCTGATTGATCACATGGCGCCTGATGGCAGCGTTTTCACACATTTATGGAAGGAGGCTGCAATTATCCTGCGAGGAACACAGACCCTGTGACCTGAGAGTGGGGGGAAAGTAGCCTGGTTTTCACTGTCTTTCTCTTTTTCACTCAAGGATTTGTATGTTGACAGATGCACCCAGGTTGGTAGGAACAGGCCCAGATGGTGAAAAAGAAAAAGAAGGGGGAGGGAGAATGATAAATCTGTTATAGGTGGGCCTTAAATCCCGGAGAGATAAAATAAGACAGAAAATACACAACACACACACACTCTCTCATACAACTTAAAATGTCTGGCAAGAGGGTTTAAAATAGTAATAAATAAGAATTCTAATCTTGTTTACCAATGTGACAAGGACTGATGTGTGTACCGACATCAGCTCTCCAAATGCTTGTCAGATTTAAGGAAATACGTGTTTCTATCTGTGGCTGAAATAAATTCCCTGGAACAAGGGCATAGAATCCAAGTCCTCTAGCACACAATCTGGGATAAATGAGCAATCACTCTGGGCGTGACATTGTTATAAAGCCAACAAAAGTGCAAGGTGAACTCCGTCGATGACTATTCACATTTTTCAAATTATGTTAATCCAACAGCAGCTAGCTACTGGTACTTACTGCTGCGGTTTATCAATTACAGTTTCCATGCTCTAAACAAGTATAATTTCAAGGTTGATGGAAGCCACACTCCCACATAACTGAGGGCGTGTGTTTTTTTTCAAAAAGGAAAAGGCTTAACCTTCACTTCCTCTCAACAAGCTAACAACATCCATCTCTACTAGATGAAAACGTTCAGGTTCTATTTCAACTTTGTTTCCCGGACTTCAATACATTATCTTCCTCAGCCGTGATTCTGGTTAGCAGCAAACGAGATTAGCCGGGGAGGTGTGCAATTAACAGTTTGCTGACAGTATGCAAATTGTCTAAATTATAGAGTGATCCTATGATCCTTGGTATGCTGGGAAGTCGCTATGCCAGGGCTGCCACAGACATAACGTCACAACCCGATAGCAAACCAATATCAAGGTCAACAGCAAAATAGCTGCAGAAACGAAAGCTAATGTGCCAATGCCAACACTCCCTCAAGCATTCCTGGAAGCTCTGCTGCCAACCCTCAATCATGCCACTGATGCTCTCTAATTGTGCACGGCAGCTGGGCATTCTCATTATGCACACATGGCCTCTGCACAATGCACAAGCAACCATCAGGAATGAGAGGACAGCAATGCCTACCCTCTGGACAAACAGTCATGATGCTCCAGGAATGAGGCCTGCATGGAGAATGTCAGAGTACACAGGTTCGAGCCCTACTGTGACAAACATGGTTCCACACAAGCAGTGTCTCCGACACTGCATAAAGCACATCTGTATTGTAACCTCTGTGCATGGAAGTCAGCATCATGCAAGAAAGAGGTGAGAGTTACATATGCAAGGAAGGATGGGAATTGCAGCAGCACTGGGAGCTGCTCAGTGGGAAAGGACAATGCAATGGGAAAATAAGAACCATCATTTTAACTCCCACCTAGAGTTGACACTAGAGATGGAGGCGGGTGGCACTGTGGGTTAAACTACAGAGCCTAGGACTTGCCGATCAGAAGGTCGGCAGTTCGAATCCCCACGATGAGGTGAGCTCCCATTGCTCGGTCGCAGCTCCTGCCCACCTTGCAGTTCGAAAGCACATCAAAGTGCAAGTAGATAAATAGGTACCGCTCTGGCGGGAAGGTAAACGGGTGTTTCTGTGCGCTGCTCTGGTTTGCCAGAAGCGGCTTAGTCATGCTGGCCATATGACCCGGAAGCTGTACACCGGCTCCCTCTAGTAAAGCGAGATGAGCACCACAACCCCAGAGTCGTTCGCGACTGGACCTAATGGTCAGGGGTCCCTTTAGAGTTGAGGAAAAAAATTGATTCAGTTCACATCTTTAGGTGAACCTACCTAATGCAAACTTTTCGAAATGCATGCACTCACCAAAGTACATTCTATTCTTTGAAATAAGAAACTGTCTGAATTTTGCAATGGAGTTCTCCAGCTCAGTGATGCGTTCAAAAATGCATATACTAGGGCAGTGTTTCCCAACCTTGGGCCTCCAGCTGTTTTTGGACTACAACTCCCATCAACCTTAGCTAGCAAGACCAGTGATCAGGGATGATGGGAATTGTAGTCCGAAAACAGCTGGAGGCCCAAGGTTGGGAAACACTGTACTAGGGTAATGCCTGTATGGAAAAGCAGCTATTAGTGAAAAATAGCATAGAGAAATGTGTTATGTAAGAGCAAATTGCTTTGCAAACATGTGTTTACAAAAGATGGGCATACAAATTTATGTGTATATTAAGAGAAATTTCATGAGGACTTTCTTTTAAAAGCAAACTGATGGGGAAATGTGGAGAGCTGAACTTTAAAATGGTAAAGTCAGAAACTGAAAGGAACAGAAATGGGCAGCTCTGCCCATCCCTAATCCCACCCCAGGGAGATGTGAGTGAAGCTTTCACAAGGCACAATCCTACCTTCCTGGAGGTCCTGCTGGGACTATTATATCCTACTCAGAGTAACTGCAAGGCAAAACTTGTGAGTCTAAGAGCTGGAAATCATCCAAAAACCTAAGGCACCGAATTCCTTCAGTTAACAGTTGCAAGAGCTCATCTAACCGCTGAATAAAGAACTTTTAAACTCTGTTCTGTCTTCTGGAGTTTATGTCAAATTGATGTGCTCCCATCCTTTTACCTCACTTTTTTAAAGATTCTCTCTCTCTCTCTCTCTCTCTCTCTCTCTCTCTCTCTCTCTCTCCATCCCCACCTTTCTCCCTTTCCTCTAAGAATCTATTCTCTTTTTTAGGGTTGCGAATGCAAGTGAATTGAAGTGAATATGCTTCTACCCCACTGACTAAACAGGTGTCTCCTTGTTCAACCTAAGCTTTTGGTCTGGATGCAAATTCCTGGACTTCTGAACTTCCTTTGATTCATTCACAGGGTGGTACCCACATAAAAGATCCCTCTCGCACAGAAGCTTTTTAAAGGGTTATATGTGAATCTCATGCATATGCAATCTCCTAGAGAGATGTGGAACAGTTGGCAGTGCAGACTCAAGTACCCTCCTTCCTGTATGTGTCCCATCATGAAGACATCTGGAAGGGGACTGCCTGTGAAGCGCTGGGGATGCCAAGACACTGCTGAAATAGTCACCCGTTTTATTGTGTGACAGCATCAGTTTGCAGAGAGAATTCTGACAGCATTGCAGAGGAATGGGGATGGCAGTCTTTGTGCACTCACAGTGTCTTCTTTGAAAGCTGCCTGGTAAACAGAGGAGCAACTGGCACAGCTTTCCTCACCATTGCATCTCCTTACTGAGTAGAATTGCACCCGCCTGGCTGCCTCACTGCCATCAGCCATAAACTCTGAAAAAGGCACAGTACCCGTGGCTTAAGGACACAAAAGATGGGATCCCCATGGATGAGCAGCTGGACTTCCAGAGATGTTTATTCTGGAGGCCTTTCAAGTGGTCTGCCTGGCACTGGGCTCAGAGGGGAATACACAACCTCTGTGCTCAGTTGTCTGTGGGAAGGCAAGGGAAACATAGGGGCATGGATGAGTAATGAGTTTCAGTCACAACAGCTGGGTCTATTGACTAGGCACTCTTTAGGGATTGGTGAGTGAGTAGAAGTGAGGAGGAGAGCTATAACCTTCCACTCTGTTGCTTCAGCCTCTCGGCCATTGGCAGTCCCTCTGATGTCATCGTCTTGTTGGGAAGACAGTGTAATCATCACAAGAGCACTCACTCATCCTCTGAAGGGAGTCACACTGACATTGCCTGTAGTTTCTATTTGGCCATTCTGCCAGCTCATGTATCATAGAGCGCTGGCATGAATCTTCACCATTTCAAAGACCTGGAGATTCTGTTCGCACTACCTACAAACTCTAAATAGAGGATACTTTTCCATTACAAGCATTAACAACTAAATCATCAAAGGGACCATATATGGAATTAAAAAGGGAAGCTGCAGGCAACAGATCATTTACAAAGGGAAGAATCAGCACCTCAGATTGCTTAAATACACTTCTCATGAGTTGTGCGAGGGAAACGCAAGTGTTCCCTCTGACCCATTCCCAACTTGAGACTTTGGCCTAGAGGCCCTGGCATCCCACGTAAGCTTCATCCTCGTCTGTAATTACCCCCAAAGCTGAGCTTTATTTCTTTCAGTGTGCATCACTGACAGAATTCCTAACAGAATCTGAATCCGCCTCTGTCTTGTGCAAAGCCCACTAAACAGAGTAGGATCACAGAGAGAGTTCTTAATGCAGAAAAGTACATTCTAGAGAGCTTTTGCTACAAGGAACAAGGAGAAGAATCTGGATG